TTGTTGTGTGTGTTTGTATTTATTTACATATATAAATAGTATACACACAGATATATATATATTATATATATATATATATATATATACGTGTTTGGGTGTATAAGAACTGGTCATCATTTCTTATATCTGTTCTCTCTTTCATTTGTTTTGCTTTCTCCCAGACACTCACTACCTACTCATATCCCCTTTGTGCTTTACTTCGTAGTTGGTGTTTCTCATTACGTAGTCTACTGTATCTGGTATTTCGTATCTTTTGCTTTAAGGTTATCGTTCTGGCTTAACAATCATCGTACTGACATTGTCGGCTCTTTTTTCAATGATACTCTACCTTATAGTGGTTCATGTGATCTATATCTCTGTGGGTCGTCACCTGATCTATGGAGATTAAATCTGGAGTCGGGGCGATTCATGGCCCCGCTGAGAGGCAAAGGCAAAGAATATAACGTTGTCAAAATCAGTCCAGCTCACCAACTTATAAGTAAGTAACCTATGTATTGCTGCTTCAATTATAATATATATATATATACTGGCTTGTAGTTTGTATGTACTCTACTGGCCATGGAATTCTGTAGGACGGTGTACAACCGAATATCGGTCATCGATCGTTGTCAGAGAGCGTAAAACCTTGTATTCCCGCACAACCCCCCTTCCCCCCCCCGAACACTCACACACATAGTCAATCTCTCAACAGTAAGACTGTTCCCATTTTACATATCTCTGTGCTCAGTCTCTTCATATCACTTATTATTAAAGGTCATTTTTTACACTCACTCATCAACTACAACAGCGTCGGGATCTACTACTGGCGGTGTGGAGGTTTGGGACCCGCGCACAAAGGAGTTAGCGTCGGGTCTGCGCTTGCCCATGGAGGACAATCAGACGGAGGAGGTAACCGCTTTGCGGTACAGCGACGACGGTATAAAGATGGCGGTAGGCACAAGCGGCGGCATGGTGTACATGTACGACATCCGATCAGACAAGCCGTTTGTGGTGAAGGACCATCAGGTATGGTGTGAGTGGGCTCTACGATAGAGTTTCGAGAGTGTACGACTGGGATGTGTACTTCCTTGCCAAGACGTCTACATGCAATTAGCATATTGTAGTATGATATTTTGCGTCAGCGTCTATGTCTGTGTCTGCATCTATGTCTGTATCTCTTTTTGTGTTTGTGTCTTTGTTTGTGTCTGTGTCTGTGTATATGCCTCAATCTCGGTTCTACTTCTCCTAGCATCGCCTTCCCGGTATTAGTCTCAATTATTCACTGTTTGTACCATCTCGTCTGCACTTATACCAGCACTCCTACCAGTTGATAGTCCTCAATTATTCACTGTTTGGCACTTATACTATCTCGTCTTCACTGCTACCATCTCGTGAGCACTTCTACGGCACGTTTACCCGATATTAGTCCTCAACTATTTCTTGATTGTACCGTCTCGTCTCCCCTTCTACCAGTACGGCTATCCAATATTAGACCTCAAATTCCACTCGTCCAAACGAGTGCTGTCCACTGATAAGCGGGTGATTAAAATTTGGGATGAAACCGATGGCGAGAACTACACAGCCATAGAATCACAGCACGACATCAATGACACGTGTGTGGCCAATGACTCAGGTCTTATCATGACAGCCAACGAGGGCTCGGATATGCAAGCCTTCTTCATCCCCGATCTTGGTCCAGGTATATATATATATATATATATGTGTGCGTGCGTGCGTGCGTGCATGCGTGTATGTATGTATGTGTGTGTGTGTATGTATGTATGTGTCTATGTACCTACGTAATGTGGGTGTGTGAATTTTGTATACGTTCATGTGTATAAGTTGTGTGTATGTATGTATCTACGTACGTACGTCTGTAGGTATCTACGTATGTATGTGTACGTATGTATGTGTATGTATATATGTGTCTTTTTGAGAGCGATAATAAAGATAAACTTTGTACGAGTTGATGTGTGCATCAAAATCGCGTATTTGCATCGTTGTGTGTACGCTGGTGGCTGTACAAATGTGCAAGCCTAAGGGTATCAGTCTGTGTGCATCGTATACATATATGTGCTTGAGAGTGTGTGTACATTTTGATCGGGGCAGTCTCTTCTTTTCCCATGCGGATGTCGATTGCCAATACGTGCGTCTCCGTCCTTGAGCAAAATAAGATGCATGCGCCTGGTCCAAGGCATTTGTGAACTTTTGGCTGGACGTAGTACTCGCTTACTTATCAGTAGTAACCAATTGTCATCTCACATAAACCCCCAGCGCCCAAGTGGTGCAACTTCTTGGATACGATATCAGAGGAGCTCGCACAAACGGACAATACAACTATATACGACGACTACAAGGTATGCCCAAGCCCCCTGCCCTTTATCTTTAGTTTTGGGCTTGTGAGGTTCTCGTACTAGGCTTGGTTTCTGATGCACCTCTACCGCCTACGCTGCATTACATATTGTGCGTTGGCCGACACTACATGCATATAAATTATACGTACCTGTGCCTATGTCTACCTATGAGTTTGTTTAGTCATTGCTTGACCTGGTGTTACAGCTTGTCTCAGCTGTGGTCCGTCGTACCTTCCGTGTTGCGTATGAATGCGTGTCTTGTGTGTCCTGGTGTTACAGCTTGTCTCAGTTGTATACCTTCGACACCTTCGTGCCTCATAAGCTCCCCAGAAGCGCAGTGCACATAGTACGTGTGTGTGACTCGTGTATCGTATATAATCTGGTGAGAATAACATCTGCCGTTTGTACCCAATACAAATCATAGTGCGACCTCTAGACAATTGGGAGTGATAAAGAGGGATATATGGTTCTTATATAGATTTAATTAATGGTCAATTATCTACTTTGGCTCAAACTGAAATTTATGTTTAGGTATTTACTTTTATCAAACGCAAATTGTTTTAAAACATCTACCTTGATATTAATCGTATTTCTATTCAAGTACCTGCCTGAATTGGAACCGAAATTTGTGTTTAGGTATTTACTTTTACAAAACGTAATTTATATTTGAAGTATCCATTTCAATATAAAACTTACTTTATATCCAAGTAACATAATAAAACGTATTTTATTTCTAAGTCCCTACCTTAATATAGACCGTGATTCATATTCAACCCTCGGCCTTAATGTATAACGTAATTAATTGTTTACGTATTTACCTTACTTTGCATTAAACGTATCTGCCACAATTCAATCCTATTCTACACCACACCTTGCCAGTCTCAGAGTTGTAACCCATCTGCTATCCTCTCCTTTGACCACCCCCACAGTTCGTTAGTAAAATGGATCTGGAGACGCTTGGATTGTCCGATCTCATTGGCTCACGTCTGCTGCAGCCTTACATGCACGGATTCTACATGGATATGCGGTATGTACTTACAACTACAGTGTATGTGTGCTTGTTGGCACTAACATATACCTGTGTATGGAGTTGCGACATGTACTTACAACGACAGTGTATGTGTGCTTGTTGGCACTAACATATACCTGTGTATGGAGTTGCGACATGTACTTACAACTACAGTGTATGTGTGCTTGTTGACGCTAACATATACCTGCGTATGGAGTTGCGATATGTACTTACAACTACAGTGTATGTGTGCTTGTTGGCGGTAACATATACCTGCGTATGGAGTTGCGATATGTACTTACAACTACAGTGTATGTGTGCTTGTTGGTACTAACATATACTCGTGTATGGAGTTGCGGCATGTATTTTCAACTACAATGCGTATATGTGCTTGTTGGTACTATTCAGTATCTCTAAATATACTATACGTATGGATTTGCGACATACATTTCTATTTATATCTACATATTCATATATGTATATATATATATATGTGTGTGTGTGTGTGTGCGGGTGTATATATACATAAATATATATATATATGCATGCATATAAATATATATATATATATATATGGTATTGTTATACAATACAGGTGTATCTGTATACCTTGAGCATATATGCATTCCTTATAGTATCTCTAATCAATGAGTACACCTTTCCTCATACAGGCTGTACCAGAAGGCCAAAGCGGCTGTGGATCCGTTCTCGTACAAAGACTACAGGAAAGAGGCTATCAAGAAGAAGATCAGCGACAAACGAGCCAACCGTATTGGTGTGGTGAAAAAGCTGCCCAAGGTCAATACAGACTATGCGAAGTTCTTGATACAGGAAGAAGCCAAGGGAGAGAGTGGCAAGAAGGATACGGTGAGTACATTGGATGTGTTATTTAAGTGTTGGTGTGTTGCACAAGCTTGGCCCAAGACCCGAAACATATTGTACGAAGTTATCGGTACTATAGATCAGTGTCGGGGAGGTCAAGAAAGATGCAATACACAATTGTCCACATTATATATAAAGTGTTCAATGCCGAGTTTGGGCCGTGTATATCAGTGTGAGCCTTTATAAATGTAGATTGTTCATAATTGCATAATATTGGCTGTAGGGGGGCGAGACAATTGCACAGAATTATTCTGTAGTACGCAGAAATAAAACATAACATGGCACGACATGACATGATGTGACACGAAACGACATGACATGACATGACACGTCGCAGACAGAGGCTGACGTGGGTCAATTTCTCGCCGCTCTAATCGCGGTGGATATAGTTAACGTTATGTTCACACTTATATAAGTTGGTCCTGCCGGCGTTTCTGCCACACATCCGAACTCACCACCCATCCCGATATGGAAATGCAGGAAATGGCGGGCAATGCGCTCAAGGACGACCGTTTCTCGTCGCTGTGGAGCAACCCAGAATACAGTGTGGATGCCACGAGTGAAGAGTTCAAGTATGTATCCCTGTGTGTTTGTGTGTTAGTGTTTGTTGTTTGTTGTCTGTGTGTTTGTATTTTGTGCGCTTCGTGTTTGTTGCTTGTGTGTTTGTGTTTTGTGCGCTTCGTGTTTGTTGCTTGTGTGTTTGTGTGTGCCCCGCAAGTCCAGCTCCGGACCGAATGTATGTATGTTGTTTGTTATCATATCAATGAATAGCCACGTTGCCATGTGCGCGTTTGTGTGTACTGTGAATACAGGTGTGGGGCATACGTATGCTGTCGTTCTCGTACCGCTGAATGGCCACTTGTCAGCGTTTGCGCGTGTATATCGAGTGTGTTTGCTACCAGTATTTGGTACAAGCGATCTGTTGCGGCAGTTACTTGGCTCCTTGTGCGGCTGTACGCAGATACAATCAGTGACTGCTGCATTCAAGGAGCGTGTATGTGGGTTGTTGTTGCTGTTTGTGGTATATGGCTAATCAATCAAATGCATGATGCGCGTAGTCGTATCCATTGTGTGTGTATGTAGCCGATTCAACGAGTAGTGTAATTATATATATCCAAATACACCCACATATATATATATATATATACATATATATATATATATATATATGTATATGTATATGTGTGTACACACACACACACATATATATATATATATATCCCTCAACCCTAAGCAGTCCTAGTGTAAACAAACATCAATTCACTGAAACTGCATTAGCTGATATAAATTTGCTTGGACCTGTTCAGATATGAATTATAATATACATACCCCATCGTATTCGATCAAATGTATTTTGTCACATTTTCTTGTGTGCATCGTGCAACCAGATGTACGTATATACCTATCCAGTATATCACTGCAAAGCCATGAGGACTCGTGTCAAATACATTTGCAAACATACACATGCGTATCTGCATTTGTACTTCATACTCCACGGCGCTGTCATCTGCACACCCGTCACCCCAAGCTACCGGAGAATCGGTACAACATTAATCAGTACAACATTACTTCACGCCAATTGGTGAAGCATATGCATTTGCGCACGCCTATGCAGATACATTTCATATCATCTCGCCAATTCACATCAACTGATGACTCAGATACATTGCCTTATATCTCTCCATGCGTAAGCTTGTCATACACATCCAGGAACATTTATATCCGAATCGGCACATGTAACTTATCCCTTACATTGCTGTATTTTTTAGGGCCCGTCACCCCAAGCTGGCTAAGAGTCAGTTCAACGCCGAATCGATCAAATTGATTCAACAGAACGACGAAGAGGAAAGCGAACGCGATGGCAAGGGCAGTGACGAGTCATCCAGCGAAAGCGAGGAGGAGGAGGAAGTCAAGGCGCCTGTGAAGAAGGAAAAGGTGAGTATAATATATATATGTATATATGTGTGTGTAATGTATATATATATATATATTTATATTTAATGTTTGTATGTATGAATGTATATTGTATGCATGTATATGTATTATTATATATATATATACATATACATATATGTATGTTATTAAGTACAAGTATTGATAGGTTTGGGTTGGGGCAACGAATCAGCTTGCACGCATACTATGGTTGGATATTGACTATATATAGCATGTAGGTGAACACTGAAGTGACAAGTAGGTAAACCTTACCGCAAGGAGTAACACGTTGAATATTCGTAGCACAGGCGTTATGTGCTGGTGGTGTTTGTTAGTGTTTGTCGGGGCCAGCAGAGGGCTTGTAGCGGTGGATAGTATAGCTGTTTTGAGCATAGTAAAAGAGTTTTCGCACATGATTGTATTAGTATATACATATGCATGTACCTGGACTATAAGCTTTGAGATTACTTGCCTGGTCTGTAATGTCTTGTCCTTGCACCGAAAAAACAGGTAGCCGCGCCGCAGGTCAAGATGTACAAAACGAATGCGATTGGCGTTCAAACACGTGTCTGGATACTGTACCATCATATCACACATACATAATCATATGATCACGGACATTAATAAATAATCCGCATCGGATACTAACCTGGCCTATCCCCCCGATACAGAAAAAGAAGACAACCGCGCCGCAAGTCAACATGTACGAAGTGAATGCGATCAACCACGAAAAGCGTCGCAAGGAGCGTAAGGTCATGCTGGGCAGTCGTGTGGACGAGGAAATGGGAGAAGTACGCACGCATGCTGCACACGTAGGAGGACGCTCGCATACGTTCAAGATGCATGAGAAGGTCGACCATGCCGCTGTGGAGAAGGAGAAGGTATGGTGTATATCTGTGTATATGACGAGGTATATATATATATATATACATATATATCTATATCTATATATATATATATGTATATCTTATTTATATCATATATATATATATATGGATTTACATTTGTGTATCTGTATCTATTAATATATATATATGTATGTGTGTGTGCGCATGTGCAGAAGTCTGTATATTTTGTATAATGGGCTTGCACATATAGGAGGAAGCACATATGGTTTCAAAATGCACGAAAAGATTGTCCATGTCGTTGTGGAGAAAGAAAAGAGCATTGTGTATATCGGAGGGTAATGGATGCATGTACGAACACCTATGCTCTTTTGCATTTACTTGTAGTGGGTTTGTACACATATCTGTATGTATGAATCTGTAAATTTTTTGCTATGCGTGTCTGTGTATCCTTACGTAAACGCTGCATATACGAACGTGTACTCATGTTCAGTCTGTGTCTCTGTACATGTGTGGCTTTCTGTGTGTATGTGATTAAATTAAAGATTCAATTGTAATGAATTTATTTCTAAAACCCTTATGATAGGTCAGAATAATAAAAAGTCATGATTGACGTACCGCATGTACATATCAAGTCTACTAAATCTATTTATATCTCACATTACAGGCGAGGAAGGAGCATGTCAAAGAACGAGTGGACGCAAGACGGAGTGTCAAGACACTCAATCTCAAGCGCAGAGGCCCTGTGTATTGGCGTGGCCAAAAAGTAGAATAGGTGCAACTATGATCACAGCTGAAAGTTTGTTACATTGCAACCGAGCATTTGTGATGGAATAGAATATAAAATAAAAATTAGTGTGAACATTACGTATGACCACAGCTTGAAGCCTATTGTACTGCTACAACCAGGTATTTTGTGATACATAAATTAGGACTTTTAGGATTGATCCGACAAAACGCCTTCACCGGATATCTGTATAAAAATATTCTTTTAGCCATGAATCAGTATATTGTTAGGAATGGTACCAATGGACGCAAAATGGGGGTTCCAAACTCTCAAACTCATGCGCAGCGGACAATATACTGTTGGAATGGTTTATATACTGTTGGACTGATTTATCAATTTCGTAGGAATGGTTAATATATATTTTTGGAATGGTTCATAAATTGTAGGAACAGTATATGTAGTGTTGAAATGGTTCGTATATTGCAGGAATGGTTATACACTGTTGTAGTGGTTTCCATATTATTGGAATGCTTTGAATAGTGCTGGAATGGATCATATATTGTAGAAACAGTTACTTTACTGTTAGAATGATATATATATTGTAAGAATGATTTTATTTATACTGCTGGAATGGTTTATATTTTGTAGAAATGGATTATATACTCTTAGTATGGCTTATACAGAGTTGGAATGATTTATATATTGTAATAATTGTCTATGTACTGCTTTGAATATCGTTGAAATGGTTTATTTACGGTTACTGGTTTATTTTCTGTACGAATGGTGTTAATATTCAATTGGAATGGTGTATGTATTGTAGGAGTGGTTAATATATTGTAGCAATAGTTTATATACTGTTGGCATGGCTAAATAATGTTGTAGGAACGGATTATATATCGTAGGAATGGTTTCTATACTTTTGGAATGGTTTATTTAGTGTTGGAATGGTTTTTCTATTGGTGTAATAGTTCGTATATATTGAATAAACTGTTAAAATGGTCTATATATTATGCAAGGCCAGGGGAAACTTGTGATGATTTTGCGATGTAAAATGTTGAAATGGGTTATATTTCGTAGACATCGTGAATGAGCTGTAAAATGTTGGACTGCACAAAATTCAAACCTCGCCTGAACAACGATATGCAGCGACGATAACTCAAGACCGGTTTTCAAATTAATGACAATGATTAGATAATACTTTTAATCCCAAACCAGGTTTATATTTCAATATTTTACAGCGAGGACAAGGCTGTATTCTCCTCCAAGGGTAGATAGTAATAAAAGTACTACACTGCTACCGTCGCTCTCACTGCTTCTTCCATGACGTTGCGCTTCTAACAGCAATCGACATCCGGGAACGCCAGCACGACTAGAGGTCCAGTAAGATATGATCGTAAAAGCCGCCAACGCTCGCACGACTACATATCGTCCTACCTACACTATACATATATACCGTCTCTTCTAAGAACATAACTAGAGTCACTTAGATCGCATCGGCCGCCCCTCTCGGTCTGGACGACGGGGTGAATGCGGGGTCAGTTCCAGTTCCATTCGACGAGTCAGTGCCAGTCTTATCTTTACCGCCCTTGCGCTTTGTGCTCTTTTTCGAACTCTTCCTGTCCTTTTTCAACATGATAATCGTACCCGCAGCCGGTGCCCCGGCACTCGAGGACACGTCGTCTTGCACAGGCGAGTCATGCGGCGAGAACGGTGACTTGGCCCCAGACAGCGACGCAGGCGAATCAGAACCATAGTTGCCGTTCTGCGCGTACGCATTGGGACCCGTTGACATGGGCCGTTGAGATGGCAGTGGCGCCCCAGACACCGGGCGAGGTGTGACGTTCAGGCTTTCCTGGCTGGAGGACATGCCACCCCCGAGCTTGCGCACGTTGAATGACATAGGCGCGTCGTCGTTGTTGCTGATGTCCAGCGACGGTTCCGGGTGCGTTTCGGCCCCAATTTTCCCAGGGGAGGGCACATGCTCTGGGGACTTGCTGGTCTCATCTAGGTGGTCCTCCGCAAACGACGACGTGCGCGCCACCTCACTCTCTGCGTCGGAGATGTTGTCCTCCGAGTCGTCGCTGGTGTCACTGACCCCGGTCTTCTGCGCCTGGGACGGGGGGTATACGGGTGCGAACGGCAGGCTCTTGGGCAGATCGATACTCTGGTAATCCATGGGATCGTTCGCCAGCCTGGCCGTACTACTGCCCTTCTCGGACTTGGCCATAAAGCGCGGGTGGATAGGCGCGACAGTAACGCCCTCGTTGCTGACATTGTCCTCATCAGTATCGCGCGTGTGCGCATTACTATTCAGCATAACACGTTGTGAGTCGTTGGTCTGGGGAGCTCTGTGCGTGCCCGCTGACGCTTGCGCCGCATTGTTGTGCATGTACATCGGAGACGCGTGCTGGGCCATTCTCTTGCCCTCGTATTGCGCGAAGGCACCTCCACCCATGTCATTGATCTTCATATCTAGAGGCAGTCCGCGCTCCTTCAACAGCCTGTTGCGGCGGATGCGCATGTACACCACCGCAAACATCGTCGACAAGCCACAGCACACTAGCATGGCCAGACCAGTCAGGATACTCGAGTACATGATGATATAGTCTGAGTTGATGTTTGCCTTGGGTTTGTTCTCCTCCGCATGTAGAGCCGCCTGTACCTCGAACTGGTTGACCTCAACGGACTCCCCAGTGCTCTCGGCCTTGTGTATACGCGATTCCTCCTCTAACAAGTCCTGCAGTGAATAGCTGACCCTTGAGGCAATCTCCAGTTCGCTTTCCGCTCGATCACCCTCCGAGTATGTGGTACCATCGCCCTGAGGTGTCTGCCGCGTGCTGATAGTGCGGCGTCGGCGTCGGCCTCCCTCGGCCGCGGCCATGCCGTACTCGACCGCAACGGTCCAGTACACAGCCATGTTCACAGCCGGGACACTGGGCGTTGCACAGGTCATGGGACCACTCAGCCCCACACTGACCCGGATACGTGGGTACTCCCCTTCACTGGCACTGAACTCCTGGTAGACCGTACTCATGTCACCCTCCTGCGGCGCCCATACCGCGTACCGGTCACAGTCACCAGTGGTAGTGCGTGTCACACCCACCACGCTGGCGTCAGCGATAGACAAACCAGTGTTGGTGGGCTCTAGGCTGATCTCGTAGTAGGCTGTGCCGCCTAACTCAAAGTCCGAGCTTTCTGCGGTGGTGGTGAAGTCCTCAAGCGTGTACCGCACCTGAGGAATGAACCCGGCACTGATATACAACTCCTCCTTCTCGCACATATTCGCCGTGGTAATGTGGAACGTCACCTGCGTGCCGTTCACCTGGGTCGTGTTCGAGGGACACTCGACGGGGATGCTGGCCATCATATACGCGTGCGTCAGATCGCATCCAGCGATGTTGGTGGTGACTGTCTGCTGGCAGTACTCCTGGGTCAGATCCTCGCATGGCTCGCTGATAAGTTTCCATTCCCCGGGGATAGGGGCGGCATAGATACCTTCTTCAGAAAGTTCATCCGTGTATCCGAAGTATCCGACGTGCAGGTTGCCCCCTGCCATAGTCACGTCCACGGCACCGTTCACGTTGGTACCCGGCTGCTGCGTGAGAACGGCTGTGCCTGAAGTGCCGGGCACAACCACCTGGAAGCTGCCCATACGCACGCGGTCAAAGGTGAAGTGGCCCAGACCATTAGTGGAGGCGGCCCGCTCAGACCCATCGGCCATGTTCTTGAGGATCACCTGCACACCACTGGCGCCCTTGTTGTTGTTGGACTTCTTCAGACAGCCGCTGATCTGGTTGTTGCTGTCCTTGCGACTCTGTCCGGCGTAGCCGTAGGGCACATAGAAGACGTTGTGCACCAAGAAGTTCTCGTTCTCCACCAGCTCCACATTGATTAAGCCGTCATGGCCAAACCCTGTTGTGGAATCGCCATCCGACACCAGACCATAGGCGTCGGGCACATACTCAGCGACAGCAACGATGAAAGCTCCCGAGGAACCAGCAGGAATGGGGATGGTGTACCCACCGAATTCGTCAGTCACCGCAGCGCCCACAACGGCGCCGCTGCTATCCTTAAGCTGCAGAATAGGAGCGGAATAGAAATAAAGAGAATGCGTCAGGATTTAATCCGCGGATATCAGGGCATACACTTCAATCCCTAGAAACTACTAAAATGTGTGATATCGTGATAAACAGTCGCCCCTATTCAGTGTTGAATAGAAACTCGCACAAAAAACCCACATCCTGGCATCAATCTATTGACTAACGGTTGAGAGAGTGTAACTTACCCCGACGGCTAAGTTCGGTACCCCTCCACCGCCGATAGTGCTGACGGCACGTCCTGATACAGAGTTGGTGGGTGCGATGACGAATTCAAGATACGCTGCATTGGAACCATCAGCCTGCAGAAGAATCAGGATTGAGATTAGTATCAGTTGTAGGTATTCGTAGCTCAACCGAGTTTTAGTGTATGAATGTGAGATAGCGTCCACCGACACTGACGATTTCTATAAATAATCAAACCATGGGAAGTGTGTATCTACCCTGTCCCTGTAAACCACATAAGGTGCAAAAGCACCCCTGTGACAGGTACTACAACACACCCCAAATCAAAACAACAGAACAATTGCACATACCACACTACCAGTCTGGCCGTCCAGGGTGGCGTCTCCATCGTTGGCAATCGCCATACCCTCGGGGTACGCCACAATGCTTACGACCGATAGACCTGACTCAAAGTCGCTAAAGGAATAGAATCCATCTACAGTGGTAGTAGTACTCGAGATGACATTGTTGGCCTCGCTTTGCATAGCCACACCCTCCACGCCCTGACCGCTGTGGTCTAGCACACGTCCAGAGATGCGAGTGGCATCCGAGTACACAAACGCATCTTGCTCGGTATATACTTCGCCTGAGGCCAGGTCAACCACACGGTTGGGTGTACCGTAGCTGGGGCCACCCACGAGCGAGTACTCGCCTCCGGTGCCTGCAGTTGAAGGCAGAGTGATCACATACATACCCCCGGCCAGATTCTCAAACAAGAAATTGCCAGACGCATCCGTGGTGGCGACAATCGGCACGGTCATTCCGTCGCCTAGCAACGCCAGGTCCGTATTGGGCAGGAAGTCCACTACATAGTCCGTCTCATCCGCCCCGTCCTGTTTGATCACCTTGAGTTGTCCGCTGTAGGTGGCGTTCTGACCCACATTTGCCAGTGCGGGTGCGTCGTCATACTGGAAGTTCACGGCGGCACTGACTTCGTTAATGACAATTGCAATCTCTTTGCGCTCAGTATCAGAGCCAGCGATAGGGCTCCCGTCCATAAGGGTCTTGGGCACCACCACCTCATACGTGCCATCGATCTTATTGGTGAACGAATACACACCACGATCATCCGTGTTGGCAGTCTCAATCTCTTCGCCATCCTTGTACAGTGATACGGTGACGTATCCGGCACGGCGGCTCACATCTCCGTAGTACAAGATACCGGCCACACTGGCCTCGCCACTATAGTAGTAGTCCGGGATGTGTGTGGCGCTGCCCTGGGACACCTGGCACGTAGACTCGGGTCCACCCGCAACCAGTTCAAGCTTAGAAGCGGCAGTATCTCCAGACTGTAGTGGGGGCTTGATGGTGTAGGTACCCAGAGCAAGATCCGCAAAGACGAAGTCTCCGTTGTTGTCTGTTTTTACGACAGTCACCTCGTTATTGCTGTCCAATAATTGGATGTCTAGGAAAGAAGTTCCATTGGCAACGCTACTCGAAGACTTGGTTAGATCCACGGCACGCCCCGCGCAACTACCGGCACCTTGATCTATAAAAGGGAAAAGAAATAGTATGCAGTCAGGTCAACCCCATCCCATGTGTCTATGCATTCCGGATACGTACCTAGAACTATTTATTTCCAATTCTAAACCGGGTGTGAAAAAAAGAATCAGCCGTAAAAACCCCTCCTTGATATAAAACCAATACAGTACAAACAAGCAAAGAGATATCACCACAAAAACAACGCAACAACATACCCGGCAATCCCTTGGATTCACCCACCAGCTCGGTAGTACCCGTAGACCCAGAGGGAATGTAGCAGGGACCAGGTACGTACAACTGTACCTGGAGTTTGGACACCTGAGCACCTCCTTCCATCAACTCGGCACGTGTGGGGACATCGAGATTGTCGATCAGACCAATGACTTCGAACGATTGATCTTCCACGGACGAGATACCAAACGTATCCATCGCACCCTCACGCAGGGAATACTCGGGTAGTGTGCTGATGCCCATTTGGGTCACGGACAGCGTGGAGACGGTCGCTGAGACAATAGTCATAGCCTCACCATTGCGCTCCACGGGATAGTCTAAGACCTCGCCGGGGGTATCGTACCGAACTTCCTCCGAATAGTACGCCTTCACGGCCGCCCTGTACTGCGTGGCGGTAGGCGTCTCAGTGATGCCGAAGTTACAATCACCAAATCGACTCACAAGCACGTTCATAGACACTTTCATTCGGCAGGCATTGGTGATGTACATGTTATAGTCGCTGATAGCTTCTACAGCGTTGTTCTCGGTATTGCCCACTATATTGTCCATGATACCACAGCTCTGCACGTGGATGTCATCCAGCACACGTCCTGCGTACACGGCACCTAGGTCTAACTCCAAAAACATCTTATTGTCTGCGAGACTGACAGCGGGTACTATAACACCCACGTTGAAATCCGTGGCGGTCGCAACCGGATTGTTCAGTGCGCACCGACCATTTTCTCCCTCTAGGTAGATTCCTTCTAATTTTAGATCGACTGCGACGTCTGAAGATGCGAATACGTTCGTTACCGCCGAGGAAATGATTGTATCCGTTGAATTGTCACCCCCGCCCATAATCGTAATTGTATTAATAATAGCTATTGTTGACTCTACTATATGTATACCGGGTGCTAGTACTAATGTGGCACCCTCAGGTGCACTATATATAGCCTCCTCTAAATCTCCAACTGCTACCGCTATGACTACGGCTTCTTCCGCTGGTTCTTCGACTAGTTCCTGTAGACAAACAGAACAAGCAAAGTTTAAAATTTCGTTTGTATCCTTTCTCGAAACGAGACTGCCGTAATTTGACACTGATACTTGTGGCATTATGACTATGCAGGCATAAAATATTTCACTTCGATAACCAAGTCATATATAACTTAGGTATATTCGAATAGCTTTATTGCTAGTTGCACACAAGGAGGTGGACATATACAAATTAGACAAAATTGAGGCAATAACTACTGTAAAACCTATCGTAGACAAAAAACCCCCAAAAACGAAGTCAACGCGGCTATTAGAAACATAGAAAATAATATCACACAAACACTCGCACTTGCAAAACAGGAACATTGCAATGAGCTGTCAAATCTCACCGGGTTGGGTGAGGTTGAATTTAAAACACATCTATTAAATAGACATCAAAGATGGTTTAACTGATTCACTTTGCATGTCTGCGAGAGAGCATGCATCGTTTGGGGAAACGACTACAAATGGATGAGAAAGACCAGTAATAGCACTCAGACACGCACTTCGTAATATCTTCATAAGATAAACGTCCATACAGTGCGTCCACTCCGGTCTACTACTATATATACTCGCCACAATTCCAATCATTATTATTTAGCGTCCCATGTAATATAACTATTCTAATTGATAACCACTAGACTGATGCAACCTGACTCGCGTCTCACCCTCGGCCATAGTACTACAAGAGTTGCAACGACACCATACACACGCCACTACATACAGCACATACCTGTCTAATGTGTCTCTCAAGCACAGATAACCCTGCATATACATTGTGTGCAGACGCCAAAAGCGCCAATGCGCTCACAAGATAGCTTTGGCGCATTTTTATAGACTAGTCAAAATTAGATCTCTGACAGAGATGGAGTAATTGATCTACGGTAGAACCCGAAGGAACCCCTGACGGGCGTGTACTTGCTTCTGTTTGTATTCTTTGTATATGTAGCGACTGTGTATATACCGTGATAAAAAAATTATGAGTGTATGTATTGAATGTAAAAATTGACAGTGCTTCAGGTGTCAAAACTCGTGCAATGTTGTGAAATCGCGGAGAATGCAGCACAATTAAAGGTTATTGTATTGTTTGTGTATGTCTCGGTTTCGGTATCAACGATCACGTTATACTGATATAGCGGGAGACAAGCACGTATGTGTTGTGTGTGTGATGTGAGGCTTGCGTATGTAAATTCACACGACGGTAAACAGCTAAAGTGTTGTCTGCGTGTAGCTATAGCATGCGCTATTTAGGTGAGGTTCGCAATGCATATACTGTTGAATTCTGAAAACTCTATTGGAAGCGATGACACGTAGAATCCACACTTTCTTCATTCCAAAAAATAATATATGCGGGTTAAAATCCTTCGAATATTACATAAAATAATCACTGAAGAAAATTTGAAACCTTCGACCTATTTGATAACCCCGAATATATGACATATTTATTTTAATAATTCCAGTATTAAAAAGGCTTTTGTTTTAAATATTTACTTCAACTAGAAATTATATGGTGAAACAATCGTACTTCAGTAGAACAGTCCAAAAATATAAATTGAAAATACAAAATTGAAAACGACCTGTCCAAAAATGAAATTTATAAATTATAGTAAAAGCAGGCTCCACGCATGTAACCACAATTCTGGGATTGGTGTAAGTTTGTTATTTTGCGATGTATGATGGATTTAATTGGGCTTTTTCTAAACCCGCTCCGAGAAATTTAAAATAACTGCCTCATTATGCGATGCTAACTGAAGGAGTATCGACATAGACTCTAAATTCAAAATTGCATATATATAAAAACATGATTTTAACATTTTAGCCAATTATATTCTAACGAGCATACAACAGAATACACTATTTCTAAAAATTATTTACAAATTTGTCTTCTTTTCCTGATGGCATTTTTTGGAAAGTTTTGGGTTTGTTCATTTGTTTCTTAATTGAAGAGGGATGCGTATCTGTAATGTGTTTTTTAAAAACAAATTCTCGCCAGTTACTGTTTTTTCAATTTGTTTTAAAAAAAACCCAATATACAGTAGTCCCATAGCCTTCTAATTTTTTTAAACAATTCCATTGAGGTATTTGTTTTAAAAAAAATGTTTTAAAAAACTACTTTTTTTAAAATAAAAGCATTGTTTGTTTTGTTTTTTTTCAAACACAAACTGAGTCATGTGGTCTGTGACTCTTGTGAGTTGTGAGTGTGAAGTTGTAAACTGTGAAATCAGAAACGATCATGATTCAATAAATAACCAGCAACAAGTAACGTCGGTGAGTCGGCGAGTCGGTGTTTTAAAATAAAAAAAGGAACTGTCAGAGAGACAGAGACTAAGGCCCTGTTTTTAAAACGGGTTCGGATTTATGTTCGGATTTTCTCTATACCAATGGGTGGAGGCTAATTTTAAATTTTCAAATCTGAATATACATCCGAACGAGGGCAAACTTTCGAAGGCATCGTACCCTTCTATTTTTTTAAATACGTTCGGATTGGATTTACGGGATTCAGATTTTTTTTTCCTACGTAAACTCACTTTTGCGGTTTAAATACGTACTGGAATTTAGGAAATGTGTTCAACTTCACAAGCTTTGTGATTGGTTAGTACGTAAACCAATTTTGTCCATTTTAAAGTAATAGTCCGAAATTTCATCTTGGACATGCTTAAAGACAGGTTCACCCAAAAAAAAAAAATCCGAACATAAATCCGAACCCCCTTTTTAAAAATAAAAGACTGAGCCGCAGAAGTGTCATTTATCAGAGAGTAGGGACCCATCAGTCATCAGTGTCAGACCCAGAGTCCCAGACTGTACAATTGTATAGGATACACAGTCTGTCAGTCTCACAATATTTACTATTTAGTCAGTATGTATTTCTGTACAACAACTACTATGTATGTACTAGTATTTTCAGTCACCACTCTCCACTCTCCACCAAGTTATTTACCAACTCTCCATTCACCAATTCATAATCTTTTGGGGGGAAAATACTTTTTGTTTTACTCTTTGTTTTTACTCTCCTCTCTCACTACTAGAGTTTCTCTAGCCGCCTTCCAGAAGAAAAAAATATTTTTTAAAAACAATTACTATAGTTTTCAAAAACAAAGCACCCCCCACTCCGGCCACACGCCTTGTTGGCTCTCTAGTCCCTCACTAACTGGCAACTGCCCCAAGGCCCAAGCAGTTGAAGACTTGAAGACTTGAAAGTTGAAGCCGTTGAACGAATTATTTATACACATCACTTTTTTTATTTTAATAAAAAACCCATTTCAGAGAACTAACCTCAAACCGTTTTCCGTTAAAACTTTTATAAATCGAATAAATATAAATTTACGTTCAACTTTTATTTCATATGCGGTCCTTTGTATGCTGAAACGTGCAACTTGCGGGTCTAAATATTCGTGTGTGTACCATATTCACTATACGTACCAGTCCTATAAAAGCACTTAGGTAGACCCTTCTGATCAATTGAATAAATATGCGTTTACGTTCAGCTTCTATCCCGTACCCCTATAACGTTATGAGCTTAGTCCGAGAAAAGTTTTTTATATATATTTGTTTAAAAAAACAACAACAATATAGTGCTTTAATTTCATGGTGTAAACGTAAAACGCTATTTATCTATACAATAGAACGATGGAACATTGCAACGAGAACTATTTAACGAGAATAAAATAACGTTATGACTTGAAAGTTGTAGGTAGTACAGATTGCAATGATGGGTAGATAAACAAATATGGGATTACCAATGGAAACTCAACCAAAGATCTACGAATCATTTAAAGTTGTACACCATAGCCCCAAGGGCCCAGGGTCCAAGGCTCCGGGGCACCGTCAAGGCTCTAGAGGGCGTCCAAGCTCCAGCAGTCCAGTTCCAAACTCCAGCCTCCGGCAGTCCAGCCTCTACTACACAAATGTATAGTCCGTGTACGACCCCATGTACAACTTGAGTCCCCGGTACAAATTGACCCAGCTTCTTTTTGTTTTTTCGTTTAAAAAAACAATTTAATACTTGGAAAATTTTGCACTTTTGCATTTTTACACACTCGTTTATCACATCGATCTTTATTGTTGTTGTTCATGTTGTAGCACTTTTGTCAATTGCTTGTCCTTTCTCTTTACACTACCTCTCTCTGCGTGCAAAAAGACTCGCCGGTTTGTTTCCATTTGTACCTCTCTCGTACTCTTCCCAGAGTATTCTGAGTGATTTCGGACCGTCTATCAACTCAGCGGGATGTTGTGTGTGCTCTCACTATTTGCATTATCGTTGTTGTTTGGCTGGTTTCCACTAGTAGCAACTTGTCTTGCACGGAAATTCAGGGTATTGAACTGGCTCATCAGCTCACGCCGTGTTCGCTTGAGCTCCGCCCTCAGCTGCTGAATTAGTGCGCAACTTTTTGCTTCAGAAGTCTGTAACATTTGTTTTAAATTTCTAACTTGTGCTATCAAGGATATAATTTGATTTTGCAATTCTGTAACATTGATAGCATTAGGATTAGCATTGGAACTAATGCCCTCTACCTCTTGAGCACAGAAATCGTCAGCACCTGCAATGATGATGACAACTGGCACACGTAAAATAACCTTCTGTATTTCGTCATCTGATATTTTTGAACTGATATTCTTGATCAAGGTGATACAATGTTCATGAAAAGTATCATGGACGACAATACTTTTATCAAGACCCAGCCACAACGCAATAGTAGCTATTATTCTTTTGTGCTGCGCGTGCAAAAAAAAAAAAGGAAGATAGTACAGACCTTCAACAACAGTACTCAAAACTTTAGAGCTAACAATAGCACTAGAATCATTGCTAACACGATACTTACAGCCCCACGCGATTCACAAAGAATTTCAGACACTCTCGCATCAGGGAATGTCATAAAATCACTTGAATATGTATCCACTTGTCTAGTCCCTCGTATTTGACTTCTGCCCCTCTTACTCTTTGCCAATCTACCTCGAGCCTCCGCATGATCTTTTGTGAGCCTTCGTCGCTGTATATATGTTGCACTACTATTTACGCACATTATGCGTACCAAGTTCACTTAGTTCAC